ATGCATTTTGCCTAGTTTGTTCCATGAGTGTAAATCCATATTATAGTATTATGGAAAAATGTGGAAAATTTTATGGAAATTGACCTAAACTTTCTGAATATTTTACTGAAATTTCTTAAAATTGTTTTAGAAATAGAAAACTTGTACTGTGTTTCTATTGAGTTATAGAAACATGAGTGGAAGTTTGGGAGAACGAGAAATGCTGTGGGAACAAGAGGCGAGGCGACTGTTTCCTTGCAGGCGAGTGTTTCCTCAGCTTTTTCGAGTTCACCCAAACTTTCACAAGTGTTTCTATAACTCAATAGAAACATGGAGAACATGTTTTCTGTTTCTGTTAGAAACAGAAAACAGGAAAAACAGCTTGTTAACTTTGATTATCAAAGTGTAAATTCTCTTTGCTTGCGCCATCATTACCGTAATGTCAACAGCTCATGCTAGTTCTGTGTTTTCATCCAGTTACAGAAACACGATTTTTAACCAATCAGCATGCGTATTTTCTTAGGACTGTTTTCTAAACTGACTTAGAACACAATGAGGTAGATCAGATGATGTTTTGATTTTTCCCAATTTACAAATTGCAAGCTTTGTAGAGAGGTCAGCACAGCACTTATGTGACAGTTAGATTAACGTATCTCGCCCTAAAGCGTGGTTTTCACGAACTCAGTGCCAGCACAAGTGCAAGCATATAGTAGAATATACCATTCGCAAAATGGAACTACATCTGGGACCTGAGTGGCATTGTTGCCGCAAACAGTCAGTCTATGCCACCAATGCAACGGTAGGTTAAAGATATATATGTTACTGGCCGGCTGAGAGGTCCGTTTAATGAAAAACTATGACCAAGGTCTTGAAAATGCTGCTGGAGGCCGCAGTCTGAGGGCAGCATTTTCAAGTTGGAGGTCACAGTTTTTCACTATTAATGCCGACTGACCCTAAGCCGGCTTTTCTACCATAAATTGAATAGCAGAAAGCGAGGAAATTCATTTAGCGTGTCCCACAGAAATTCTCTCAAATACAGCAATGATCAGAGAGGTAAACTCAACTGCAATCGACTCATTTTTTGCTTAAAATCGTGTGGCAAGAGAAACACAGGATTCATGGGGAGTACGCGCCTTTACAGTGCCAAGCTACAAACAACCAAACAAACTCTCACAACTTCAAAACACTCACCCGAATTTACTTGTGCATAGGGATAAACTTGCATTGATTAATCATCGATGGAAGTGTGAAAATAGGTAAAAAAAATTGAAGATTACTGCTAATTTGTTCACAAAAATAGACCAACACGACAGATTCCGCCCGCTGTGGTGGGCCTGATAGGAAAATTCCGCCTACTCCCGGGACTAATCAGATTGCAGGATTTGTTGAATTCCACCTGCTCTTGAGCTGAGAAAAAAAATTCTTTTCTCGTGGTAAGGTTACTGTAGATTTTCAAGGGCTGATTTTGAGTCATGACTTTTAAAACAAGTCTA